ACCCGGTTCTCCCAGATTAGTATCCGCACACTTAACCGCTACACCAAAGGTAGAATATCTTGGCTTTCCTCTATGGAAGGCAATTATGCTTAACCTTTCACTCTTTCTCTGCTGGATCTAGTTTCAAAAGCTCTGATTCTCCTTCCCTGCGTAGGGGCTGGAGCTGCCTCTTGCAACAGGGCTGGTTATTGAGAGTTTAGCATAAACCTCCTTGGAGTCTTTAAGTTGGTTTGCCACACCCAAGTTGCATCGAAAGCTGTCAGATCAGCTGTCCTTTTACTGTTCTGTGACCTGATGGCAGTTAAAAGTTCAGGTTTCCGAGAGGATGTTGAATGTGGTGTGTTGGGGCTTTCCTGGAAGGACTTGGTAGACAGGAGCAACTGAAATAAACCATTTTCTTCCTCCATTGTCAGGTTACTTTAGCCCCTAAAATGGTAACTTCTGAAGCTTGTCACCATCAGGACTGGTTCTAGAGGGTGATGACTGATGAGTTGGGCATTTGTTAGGGCCTAAAGATTGGCTAAAGGTGAACGAATAGCCGCGTCCCTAATCACTGTGCCCAGAGCATCCAAGAAGGCTGGCGGTGGTGCAGGAGAATTCTTTGGTTTGCCCATTCCGCCTTTTCCCATACGGAGGGGCCCCGTCAAAGATCCCCGGGCCCCGAAGGGCCTGCTAAATTCTGGATTTTAGGTTAGTCAGATTGTTAAGGCAATTTCCCACTTTCAGCTTTCTTTCCCCCCCTCCTGTTTCTCTCCATGTTCTGGACTCTCTCTCTGTAGATCTTCCCTCAGAGGCCATCAACTCTGTTTGATGACTCTTTCGATGCCTTTGCTGTTGACCAGGTTTGAGTGCAGAATCTGTTTTTGCAGAAATAGATGCTTTATGCCTGTGGAATAGGAGATAGGAAATTGGTGCCTTTCCTCATTTTGTCTGTCCAGGCCATCCTTGTTCCTCATTATCACCCTTTCCCCCTGTTTTTATTCCTCTGTTCTCCTTGTATTTCAAGTAATATTTTTCATTGTGTGTGTGTGTATGTGTGTGTGTGCTGTAATTGGCAGGTGTAGCTGTAAAAGCACCAGACTCCTAGTTAGCAAGCTAGAGTGAGAGTTCCCTGTGTGAAACTTGGGTTCTGAGGGTCTGTCGTCTCTCTGTCTTGATGCTTTGTTTTTCTCCGCTCTGTTCCTTGCTCTCCATCCTCTGGCTAGATTTTCACTCCAAGGCCCTGTGACTTGTTCGCTGATTCCAGTGGGGTGTTTTCACCCAAGAAGGTTGGTTTAGCCATCGTAGTAGCTCTAGGTGCTATTAGGAGTTTTAGCTTTAAGAGATGGCTTGTCTGTACATAGCCAAAAAGTTGGAACCCTAGATTGTCCTTTAGCCTTTCCGAGGCATGGGTTTGGAAAGAGGGTGCCTCTTTCCCCACACAGTGAAAGCTGCCTGGGAAGGCTGACCTCCTCCTCCTTGTTCCCTCCCTGCTTTTTGCTTTTTTCTTCTGCCCGGTGTCCAAATCTTGTTTCCCAGCAACGGGAAGATGGGTGGGGGTTCCACATCCCTCAGGGGATAAGGTTCCCATTTGCCCTCTTATGCTCAGCTGATCGGTGGGTGGGAACTGAGGCCAAAGGATCGGGGGCGATCGTCCTGGGGAGAAAATTTAGAAAGAAAAAATAAGGCCTCGTCTCCTTATCAGAAGGTCTGACCATAGAGTTTCCGATGTTTCCTAGAGCTACCCAGAAGTGACAAGGGTAATCTTACCATAGAGTTTCTGGCAATAGCTAGAGGTTCCCTGGTCACTTCTGGGTATCTTCAGGAATCGCCAGGAACTCTATGGTCAGAACTTCCAGTAAGCAGCTGAGGCCTTATTTCTCTTGTTAAACTGTTTCTCCTGGAACTCTGCCCCCCCATCCCCCCCCCACTGGTTGCCAGGCACTCAGGTGCCTGGTTGATCCTGGTGGCTGTCAGTTGCCAACCCCTATTAGGTGATCGATTCTTCTTGTTTCGTTTTTAGTTTTTCAGCTAGATCTCAACCCTCTGAGTAGTTCAGACATGTCGATGTTTCCCACTCGTCCTCCTTTCTGTGGTCTTGATCCCTCCTCTGCTGAAATACTGTAGAACTCACTGGTTTTCTGGAAGGCTGTGTTGTAGTCGCATCTGGGCCTTCAAGCGATTGGGTCCCCTTGCAAAAAAAAAAAAAGACACCAAGAGAAGAGAGGCTATGATTTGCTCTTCTCGTTTCAGACCCCGCACCTTGTCAACCTCAACGAAGACCCCCTCATGTCAGAGTGTCTGCTTTACTACATAAAAGATGGAATTACCAGGTAAGGGTGGAGGCGGGTCGTGGCAGACGAACACCTTCCACTTTGAAGCAACGTCTCTCCTCTTCCGAAACAAATCCAGTTGTATTAACGCTCTTGGCTGCCAGGCGAAGCGCACGCTTAATTACCCTTGTCCTTGTTTGCGTGCACGGGATTAACTTTAATTGCCACATTTGGAATCACAGGAGCTTTTCCCAAATGCCTATCACCGGGGGGCGTTCAGAAAGAGGAGAGCAGAGCGAGGGTAGAAGCGGGAAACAGCCAACAAACAATGGCATTGTACAGAATAGATGTTCCCGACTTGGCACACCGTGTTCAGATCTGTGCCTCTCAGTAACGGAGGTGGCTGAAGAGAGGCTTTAAATTGGGAATTAAGAGTCCACAGAAGGCTGCATGTGGAACACCTGAAGGTAACCGTGTCAGACCATTGGCCCTTCTGTCCCAGTGTCACTGACAGCCGCCCTCCAGTTTGGTGTAGTGGTTACCGTAAGTGCGCGGACTGTAATCTGGGAGAACCGGGTTTGAGTCCCCCACTCCTCCACTCGCAGCTGCTGGTGTGACCTGGGGCAAGCCGTAGTTCTGGCACAGCTGTCCTTGAAAAGAGCAGAGCTCTCTCAGCCCCACCTACCTCACAGGGTGTCTGTTGTGGGGAGGGGAAGGGAAAGGAGTTTGTAAGCCGCTCTGAGACTCCTTTGGGGAGTGAAGGGCGGGGTATAAATCCAATCTCCTCTTCTTCCTCTTCTTGGGCGAAGGTCTTTCTGTGTCCTGCCACCTAAAGTCCTCTAAGTGCAAATGCTGAGGGTTATACCCGGAGCCGTCTCCAAGCAAAGCTTGTGCTCATCCCCCCGAGCTGTGGCCCGACTCACACTTCGAGTGCATAATGCGAAATGAAAACCCGAAGAGCTTCCTGTAGGACACTTACCCCGCATAAGAGCTTTGTGCCAGGTTGCCCTTTCTGCAGTTGGGAAAGAAGCGCCCGAGTCGATTTAAGCCCTGAACATCCGACATTCTGCCATACAGAGGGGCTGGGGTTGAAGGGGAGCTCTACTGCTCGCCTGCCCCAGATCCCTGGCCCCCCATAGGCCTCCCTTCCGTTAGGTTGTAGGCTGAATGGCAGGTTTTTGTTCCCCTTCAGCCTGTTGGCGATTAGAACAAAGCGTTGTGCCATAATTCTGTAACAATATGACTGCTGCCTGTATTCTCTCTGTGTGTGGAGGGGGTTCCCCTCCAGTGTTCCCTCTAAGCTGAGTGGGTGTGAGCTAGTTCACAGTTTTTGAGCCTCCGGCTCACGCATTTTTGTCTCACCTCGGGAAGGAGGGCTCCAGGGCAGACTAATTGATGCAGCAGCCCAATCGCTCGCTCACCACTTTAAAGCTCACAAAGTAGGATTTTTGCTCACAAGACTCCACAGCTCAGAGGGAGCATTGTTCCCCCTCCCCCTTTTTTATGTGCGAGGGGCTTCCCTCCCCCCCGTAAAGTGAATGGTTCCCCCAGATATGCACAAACCGCCCTGTGCCTTGCCCATGTCATCCTTGTACGGCTTGACTGGCCCAGCTTTTTAAAAGGGGACATAAGCTTGGAACCCGTGAGGCATCGTGGCAGTGGGAGGGAGGGGGGAAGATAATTAGGACAACCCTCCCTCCAGGGTTGATTACTGTCCCCCTCCTTTCCCCCTTTTTGGTGCTCAGCTGCTCTCAGCGTTCTGCCCCTTCCGGGACATTTTCAGTCTTCCATCGGGCTGAATTTTGAGCAGGTCTGTTTCCTTTTTCCCTCCCTTTTCGGTTAATTCAGAGTCATCTCTTTCTGCATCCCTGGGGAGTCCCCTGCCTTGTTGGCAGATGGCCGTCTTGCGCGTGCTGCCTTTGTCATCTGCACGGGGGGTGGGGGGCAGCCGCTTTAGGATCTGATGTAGCCGCGGAAGGCTTAAATCCGTTAAGATCATTTCTGGGGTCAGTTCCTGGAAGCAGTAGAGCCCATGGCTTAAATCAACTCCATTGGCCAGAGATTGGCTTTTGAGATCGAAGGATTATTTGTGAAACCGGAATAAATAAATGTTCCAGTCTTGTGTTTTTAACTCGATTTGAAACCTAGAGCTAGAAGGGATCCCAGGGGTCATCTCGTCCAGCCCCCTGCACAGTGCAGGAAATTCACAGCTACCCCTCCCCCAATCTCCCACTGACCCCTGCTCTGCAAAGTGCCTCGACAAGCTGCAAACTGTTTTATCTCTTGGTATCGACATAAGTTTATCGTGCTCTGTGTGTGTAATATAAACTTTAATAAAAGGATTTAAAAATATCCTTGTTGGACACAGAGTTGGCCAGGCTGATGCTGAACGGCGTCAAGACATCGTTCTGAGCGGGGCTCACATCAAAGAGGAACACTGCATCTTCCGAAGCGAGAAGAACCACAACGGCAACGGTGAGGTGGCAGGCGGCTCGTTGGGCTCAATCTCTCGTGTTTTCCCTGTGAGGTTACTGATACCGTTTGCTGCCCTGTTCAGACGCAAGCAGGATATATCGCTTATGCATTTTGCAGCAGTGAAGCTCTGTCCTCCTCTGGGTTCTATGGCCTTGCTGTTTAACACATAGCAATGAAACATTTAACATAGTGGGAAAGTACACAACTTAAATCTATATACAGCAAAGATAAAACTACAGGGTTCTATATGGGAAACAATGAACTAGATAAAATTTGGTCATCAACGAGTGATAAGTTAATACAAAAAGTGTATAACTTTCTGATAGAACGATATTTGCAAGATGAGATGGTTAAACCCTCAATGGTAGCATGGATGAAAGATAGGGGCTACACGATAGATATTGATGACTGGGCCAAAATATGGAAGTCTATGAGATATCTTAGTTCAACAACGTATAAAGAAAATTTATATAAGATGTTTCATAGATGGTATTGGTCGCCAGATAAAATTGGGAAATATGCACCCCAAACTTCAAAAAGTTGCTGGAAGTGTAAGAATAATATAGGAACTTTTTTTCACATGTGGTGGAAATGTTGTAGGATGCAAACGTTTTTGGAAAATTATAAAACAGATAATATTGGAAATGATGAATATTAATGTGGATTTGGTACCAGAAATATCTTTGTTAAATATAATTCCAGACAACCTAGATAGAGAATTCAGATATTTACTAACATATATTTTAACTTCATCAAGAATCATGGTAGCCCAATGTTGGAAATCAGATAAATTACCCTCTAGATTAGATATAGTTAAGAAACTGCTGGAAATAGCCGAACTGGACAAACTGACTGTTATTACGCGGTAGAGATGAGACAATGTTCCGAAAAAGGTGGATAAGAGTATATAATTGGTGGGATAAACATATTGTATGTAAGACTCCAAAGAAATGACAATGTTTACATAAAAGTGCTTACTGGCTGTTTAACAAAACTGAATAAATAAAGTATTAAAAAAAACCCCACAAGCAGGATACACTTATGGATTTTGCAGCAGTGAAACTCTGTCCTCCTCTGGGTTCTATGGCCTTGCTGTTTAAGACATTTGACAAGATTTGAAATGAGCTTTCTGTGCATCTTTGGTAATACGTTACGTGGGGGTGGGAGGCAACCTCCCTTGTCCTTGCCTCTTTCACAGCACTGCTGTTTTGTCTTATGAGAATGCCTCTGTGGAGGTTCCCCTCAGTCACCACAGCCAGTAGCCATTGATAGACATGGCCCTCCATTACTCTCTCGAATCCCCTTTTGAAGCTGTTCATTCCTGTGGCCATCACTACATCCTCTGGCAGCGAATCCCACATTTTAATCACTCTCTGTGTTAAGTGATAATTCCTTTTTGTCCTTCCCGAACCTACTGCCCATCAGCTTCATTGGATTCCCTTGAGTTCTAGTGTTTTGGGTGAGGAAGAGAAAGTCCTCTTGTCAACTCTCGTCGTCCCATGTGTGCGTCCCCCCCCCCCCCCAGTCGCCTCTTTTCTAAATGGAAAAGTCCCAGATTCTTCAGCCTTTCCTCATAGGGAAGCAGCTCCAACCCGCCCATTCTCTTGGTTGCCCTCCTCTCTACTTTTTCCAGCTCTGCAGTGTCCTTTTGGCGATACGGTGGCCAAAACTGTACACGGTATTCCGAATGAGGCCGCATCACAGATCCATACAGGGGCACTACAATATTGGTTGTTTTATTCTCAGTCCCTTTCCCGACAATCAGGACAGTGGCCTGATTCTTCTTGCGCTCTTTCTCTAGTGATTGTTACCCTGGAACCTTGTGAGCGCTCCGAAACCTACGTCAACGGCAAGAGGGTCATCCAGCATGTCCAGCTGCGCTCAGGTAAGAGACGTTGGCAGTTTGGTCTTCCATGAAAGAAATGGTGCCCTGAGAACTAGGCAGGTGGCTTGCTTTGAAAAACAAACAGCCTGTAGACAGCCAGGTTTGAGTCCAGTAGCACCTTAGAGACCAATGAGATTTTTGGGGTATAAGCTTTCGAGAGTCCATGCTGCCTTTGTCAGATTCAACTTGGAATGGAAACCCCTGAGTTCTTATATCCCAATCAAAAGGAGGGGAGGTTGTTGCAAAGAAGGGACTTAGGATGCAGAGGTACGATGCACATTGTCATCGGCCAGATTAGAAAAGAGCAAGAGTCCAGTACCACCTCACAGACTAACAAAAGGAATTTCAAAGGGAGATTGGAAAGAGAGACTGCTGAACTGCAACTGATAATGAAGCTCAAGACAACGCATCTACCTGGACTGAATCGAGACCTAGGTTTTCTGTCTTGTTACCAATGCTGATTTCTCCACACCTACTTACCCCTCTGCGTATCACACGTAATCCAATCATGCCTGCTGTTGTCATTCACCTGCTACTGTCATTTGCCTGTTAATGTCATTCAGCATCTGAAATCACTCCCCAATATCTGTCCTATGACAGATGGACTCACATTCTAGCTGTATATGAAGAGGTTATCAGTGACTCACAAAATTTTGTTAGTCTTTAAGGTGCTAATGAACTTTTGCTCTTGTCTACTACTACAGAAAGACTTAACGTGGCTACCCATCTTGATCTAGCTAGATTAGAGCAGATGAAAAATGCTGTCAGGAGAAACCTGTAAGCATTGCTTTTAAAGTTTAAGCTCTGTGCTAAAATAAAATGTCTGGAGCCTGATCTGTTGGGTTACTGTGGTGGAGAGAAGCCAGAGAGAGCTGCTGTGTGGCCCATGGTATGGCTGACAGAGTAAGAACATAAGAAAAGCCATGCTGGATCAGGCTATTGGCCCGTCCAGTCCAACACTCTGTGTCACACAGTGGCCAAAACCCAGGGGCCCATCAGGAGGTCCACCAGCGGGGCCAGAACTCCAGAGGCCCTCCCACTGTGCCCCCCCAAAGCACAAAGAAGACAGAGCATTACTGTCCCAGACACGGTGTTCCACCTATACCTTGTGGATAATAGCCACTGATGGACCTCTGCTCCTTATGTTTATACAGTAGACAGCTAAGTTGGTTGGATATCCACCAGCGGAAGCGTAGGCTACTTTGGATTTGAAGGCAGGAGGTCCAGGTGCTTGTCAAGCTACTAGGTGACTTTGGGCAGCTAATTGGCTTTTGGCATAAGATGCCTCATAGGCTGGTCATGAGGAGAGGGGAGTGCATTGCGAACGCTAAAAAGAGCCGGAAGAACAGATAACCAAGTGGGACTGATTCAGGTTGGTCGTCAAGTTAGTCTGCAGGAGCAGAACAAAATTCGAGCCCTTTCGCGACCACCCCAAATTTGCAGAGTGTACGTTTCCGTGAGTCAAAGCTCACCAAAGCTTTATACCCAGTGGAAAACAATTGGTTTTAGCCACTGATGGACCTCTGCTCCTTATGTTTATACAGTAGACAGCTAAGTTGGTTGGATATCCACCAGTGGAAGCGTAGGCTACTTTGGATTTGGAGGCAGGAGGTCCAGGTGCTTGTCAAGCTACTAGGGGTGACTTTGGGCAGCTAATTGGCTTTTGGTAATAAGATGCCTCATAGGCTGGTCACGAGGAGAGGGGAGTGCATTGTGAACGCTAAAAAGAGCTGGAAGAACAGATAACCAAGTGGGACTGATTCAGGTTGGTCGTCAAGTTAGTCTGCAGGAGCAGAACAAAATTCGAGCCCTTTCGCGACCACCCCAAATTTGCAGAGTGTACGTTTCCGTGAGTCAAAGCTCACCAAAGCTTTATACCCAGTGGAAAACAATTGGTTTTTAAGTTGCTACTGGATTCAAATCAAGTGGGATTGAGGTAACGGTATTTGAACCCTTGTCCTTCAGAGAGGTAATCAAGCATCCAGTCTACAGGTCTGATGTGGCCATCTCTCCCCCTCCCCTCCCTCTCTCTCTCTTCCCCTCCGTCCTTCTGTCTTTTTAGTGGCTCTTGCCCATAAATGTCTGTGTCCCTTTATCAGTGTTAGCTTAGCATTTCATCCTTTGCTGACTTTTATCCTGCTTGGAAGTCCACATCGTGAAGTGCTTGGAGATAAAATCGCTGAGCAAATCAGAGCCACCCTTACAGAGCTGTTAACTCCCTTAACGACCCGTTGATAGGAATCCCTTTTTATTGCTCATCCAGGAAATCGCATCATCATGGGTAAAAACCATGTTTTCCGCTTCAACCATCCTGAGCAAGCCCGAGCTGAAAGGGAGAAGACTCCATCGGCAGAGACACCCTCAGAGCCGGTAGACTGGACCTTTGCTCAGCGAGAGCTGCTGGAGAAACAGGGGATTGACATGAAGCAGGAAATGGAGAAAAGGTGACCAACTTTTTCTGTCTTTGAACAAAGATTCTTCCATTTTTTTCCCCCCAGCTGAACTACTGAGTGGTGCACACTGAATATCTGTGCATCTTTTTTCAGGGAGCAATACTGGGTAATATTTCTCTGCCTTTATATGGGTCTTCTTACAGAAGACTATCTGACATTGTAGTTAACCACTTTTTAGTGTTTAAGAGGGTTTTGCAGGACTGTTTTCCTCTCTGTTCACGAGAGAGTCGCTTATGTTAGAAAGGGCCGATTTCTTTTCACAATTGGAGCAAGGGCAGACTTGGTCTTGATTTATTAACTTGCTGCAGGAGTCTGTGTATTTCTGGATGTCACTGATGTGATCAATGAAATGGACAAAGTATGTTTCTGGAAACTTCTAGGTAGTGGATTACCTTAGTGAGCTCTTGAGGGGATATCCTAGTGAGTTCTTGAGCCACCTTGGACCACAAAGAAAGGTGGGGATATAAATATTTTAGTAAATAAATAATAAGGGTTCCCAAGTTTGCCTTGATAATGATTTCTGCTCCCCCGAACCCAAACTCTTCTGTTTGGGAACGTGGTGATATTGACCGGGCAGGCTTTCTTCACCCAAAGGGAATTAGTTCCAGCTCTGTCATGACTTGTCTGCACTTGCATTCCCAAGACAAAATCATGTTCCTGCCAGCTTTTTTTTTACTTGTGTTTTCTTGGAAGGTGGGAATCATAGAATATCACAGAGTTGGAAGGGGCCACACGGGCCATCTAGCCCAGCCCCCCCTGCTCAATGTAGGACCAGACTAGAGAGCATCCCTGACAAGTGTTTGTCCAGCTGTTGCTTAAAGACTGCCAGGGAGGGGGGAGCTCACCACCACCTCCCTTTCAGATGCACGTTTTGTAGCGATCTCAGAGCAGGGTAGCACGAGACGTATGCTAGATGATTCGCACCCGACTGTTTTCTGATAGACTGAATGCAGGAAGCTGAATGTCAGGTGGCAACTCTTGCCCTAACGAAGCTGCTGCTGTGATCGAGCCTGTTGGGGAGACCTGAACGCGGAGTCACCCCAGCAGAGCTTCCTAAGCTGCAGGATTCGCCCTTGTCCTTTGGAATGCGTCGTGTCAGCTGACTTCTCCTTCTTTCCTCAGACTTCAAGAAATGGAGATTCTGTACAAAAAGGAGAAAGAAGAAGCTGATCTCTTGCTGGAGCAACAGAGGCTGGTAGGTGTCCATATTTAGAAGTGGTCTTTTTTTTAAAACCTCTTTACCCTTGAGGACAGCATATACACACGGATTGCTTGGACAAAAAATGGAGTCTTCCTTGCCTGTAGTGTGCTGTTTTGACTTTGAATTCGCTGTGCCCTGAGGGTGCCTGCTTGTATGCTGTTAGAGACAGCATGGAAATCTCACCCCCAATTAGATGTTGAACCTAAGTAATTTAGAGTACACAACCAATGTCCTGTTAAGAGAGCCAGTTTGGTGCGCGGACTCTAATCTGGGAGAACTGGGTTTGATTCCCCACTCCTCCACTCACACCTGTCTGGATGACCTTGGGCAAGCCATAGTTCTGGCACAGCTGTTCTTGAAAAAGAGCAGTTTCTGTCAGAGCTCTCTCAGCCCCACCTACCTCACAGGGTGTGTCTGTTGTGCGGGAGGGGAAGGGAAAGGAGTTTGTAAGCCGCTCTGAGACTCCTTTGGGTAGTGAAGGGCGGGGTATAAATCCAATCTCCTCCTCTTCTTCTTCTTCTTCATGGGTCAAGAAGGAAGGCCT